CGTCTAACTATATCAAGAAGTCTTGTTATGGAGCAAAAAGTGTATTCTGCAAGCACCCTGGAAATACGAGGTCAACAAGCACACAAATCGAGCTTATTCATACATGATACAAACGTCCTTAGAAGAGCCACAAAGTAGCTGATTAAAATAATCCATCAAGGATTTTCCCAGTGTGAAATATAATCTCAAGGTCGACTGGTGTTAAAACATGGAACTTCGAAATTTCAGGATAAAATAACAAAATTAAGACCTTTCCAAATGAGTTCTGAGGATCTAACGTCCCCAACATGTACATTATCTTAAAAGATGATCCCTTCGAAAAAACATGCCCAGATTTGATCAGGTGCTCCTGTGTTCAGCTAGTGGTAGTCTTTCATTCTTTTTCTACCTGTCGGGCTGAATAATGTTTTGAGATTAGGTTAGGGGTGTTCGCCTTGTGCATTCATTGTACCTTGTCTCGTGAGAGAAAATTATCCTATACATGCATATCAATGTAACCTCAAGTGGAAGTTTGTCCTTAACACACTGATGAATGGTAGGTCGGATCGAGATGACAATAAGAAGCTTAGCTGAATAAACAATGTTCCCCCAGGAATTTCAAAACTCGATTATTCAAGATGTCTGAAGCCTCATCTCTAAATTCTTTCAGGATGTAATCATGTTGTTAGGTTTCCATCCACGAACATAGTTGGATAGCCACTTATGGTGAGTATTTATCTAAGTTGAGGTAGTTCGTCGTCTATTGTAAAATGAGAGCCTATTTGTCCATCTCTGGAGGACAAACAGTGAGTTACGTTTCCCTTTCTACTTAGTCGGATCAAGTTGAATTTGAAAATTTTCTTCTCTCAATTCCCCTTATTCTTATTCAGTGATAAAATAGTTTACTTTCATTAAATAAATTCATGTCTTTCTGCATTAATTGAAACAATCAAATAAATTTTCACAAGTGATTACTTTCTTGTCAATTTATCATTCATTACTGAAATGATAAAAAACAATTTTTTTGCATTCACATTTATAAAACATTCACATATTAGAAGATTCGTCGCTTGTTTCACCGCCTACGATTTATTTCGTCTAATTTCTTTACAATCAGTTAAATGATTGTGATAAGTTACTAAAAATAGCAATTTATTAGAAAATATTTATCGAAAAATGCAACTACGAAAATTCATTCCACTGATTAACACTTACTAGTAAATAAGGTATGTTTGTTATCTTAATCTTGATTGGTGGCTTTGGTGAATTCATTTTGAAATCGAATATTGGAATCACTAAAATTTATGCCAATAGATCCACCTTAGTGAACATGTAGTCGCTGTTTTGATTTTTTTTTGCGATCAAATGAATACGATGCTGTAATAACCTAGTTAGCGAAAATAAAGTGAAAGGTAAGGTAATCGATGTACACAGTGACATTCTATGCCAAGTAGAAAAGAGTTTGAAAAAGGTTAGAAATGGCCAAACTATTGCTTAGTATCAAGTGGCATAGTCATTTATGGTTAGAAAGAACAGTATAAACGTTTTAATTGAAGCTTATCAGATAACCGAATGGTAGTAATGCTTTGGACTATTTTATTCCATGATATATTCTCTTTCACAAATATAAAGCTTGCTAATTATTGTTAGTACTGATAGTTTTACTGAAGTCATTATTATCTTAATGATTTCGGTGGTGGTGTTTGGTTCTCTGACATCGACATTGACCCAATTTATCAACCAATCAGGAAAATCCTAGGTGACATAGGATCAAGAAACAGATCAAAAGGGAGATGCAATCAAAACAAAGGTGAGAACAACAGAAGGTTAAGGGTCAACAGCAACCAATCAAGATTGAGGTTAGCAGAACAAGCTACAGGTCAAACGTGGAGAAATTCGAATGCTTCACTTCTATCTGAAGTTTGTGCTGATGATGTTGTTCAGAAGAACAGTGAAAGCCCCACAACCAAAACATCCAGCTCAGAGAACCAAACACCACCACCACAATCATCCACCTGAGCTACAAATCTTCTCCACCATCTCTTAACGATTTCCTTTATTGGATTGATATGCAGAGATACAATGTGTATGGTTGAATTATCAGCCCTGATTGAATTTATAATATGATGCGATGTTGTCCTACATTGAATGGTATCAATGATAGTTCTTTATAGGTTACCTTATTAAAGTTAGGAAAAAGTAATCCTACATGTCATTCTGTTGTCCAACATCATAGTTTCGTCAAGTGTCTATCTATGTTTCTTAGTTGTAACTTTTCCCTGGACCTTTTTATTTATATTTATCATAATTTACTTATTTTCTAAATAATATACCAAATACCACCAGGTGGTGGAACTGTTTTAACCGTTCGATAAATCATATCAATCAATACTATGTAGCATATTCAGCTAACCGTGAAAATTCTTTCTGAATAAAAGTAGGTTGTTCATTTTTGAGTATCCATTACAAAAAAAAAACAAAATACGAACTTAATGCTACATATGGTAATAGTATGAAAATGCGCAACCTAAATAAATTAAATAACTCACTTGGTTAGTACGAAAATAAGTAAGCAAAAAGATACTAGTCAGGTCATTTGAAAAAAATGAATACATTTTGAAGGACGATTATAACAAGTCTAAATTCTTTATGATTTTCCTAAAATTATAAAAACTTTAATTACGAAAATATTTATACATATACATATATATATATATATTTTTTGATCAGTTCTTTACTAAAATTGGTATGAGTGAATTCTTTGGTTGATACATTTCAAGTCATTGCTGTGAATTTACATTACTTAATCGAATATTGGCTTCTCAAAATTTCTTTGCATTCATTCATTATTGCAATTGTATTATATCGAAAATTAATAGAATCCAATGTACGTTAAGCTTCATTTTACCGCATAAACAAAGAATTCCCACAATTTCATTCTTACGATATAATTTTTTTCAAAATTATGATCATCACAACCCACTGATCTTTGTCCAGAATATTTTTACGAAAGTATGGAAATACTCCACTCACCTTGAGCCTTAGGTAACAGGTAATAGTACCTCACATACATTTGAATCCGTTCACATTTAATAATTTGGTTAAGCCCTTTTTAACTTATTTAACAAACTGAGTCATTTGTATAGCAATAACTTATATGTAGCATTGAGTTCTTATGAGTTGGGTTAATTGAACATTAGTTACCGCCTACATGCATATTCATTCTATTCGCTTTGATATCAGCCTTTCAAATAATTCAATGACTCATTCATTTTCCTATGTATAAATACGTACATTTTGATCCTATTCATACGCTAATTCGCTCACTCACTCGCTTGCTATTCGGTATTTGCATATTTTCGCATCGTATGTCTTCAGTTTTGTGATCTTTGTGTGATGCAATTACAAACGTTATCAACGCTTCGTATTCGTCTTCTGATTTATACACAGTTGGGAGTTATTTAGTAACGGTTATCGGACTGAACAGTGCACGAATACCGATTGCCACAAAATTGCTGAGCCCACATCCAGCATAAGGTTTTCTTATTTGCTAACACATTTTTTAAATAATAATAATAATTACTATTATTATTACCACGGTTGAACAAACCGAATTCCATCGTAGGAAGAAATCAGAAAGAAGAGCTGACAGTGAATGGGAAACACATTGAGGAAAACGTCACAAGGCGATCCCTAACTTGGAATCCTGAAGACCAACGGAAAAGAGGAAACCGATAAACATATAACGCCAAGAAATGAAGACAGACATAAGAAGAAGGAAGGCACAGACGGAGTAGATTAGAGTTAGCTGGTTGGTGGCCTATGAGCCATAGAGAGTAATAGGCGTAGGTAATTATAATTATCATTATTATAATTATGATTATTATTATCTCAGTTAATCCTATATAACACTTCTCCTATGAATATGTTATATTCATATGATTTTTTCTGATTATAACTAGACACTTCACAGTAAATTTTCTTATTTCTTACTTTGAATTTACAAACGAAACATTCTGGATGTATTTAAGCCTTAATCGATGGTGATAAAGTTCATTATATTTAACACATAACACTGTCTAACTCATTTATCTATATACGTTTTACTGTTGAAATTTTAATGCAGTTTTAATGACTATAGTTTATGATGATAAACTTATTGAAAAAAAAATTTACTCATTATTTTCCAACAGTAATTTGTGCTAGAATTTTCTACGTATTATTAAATAATTAGAAAATTCACTGGTCACTACAAACTAAAAGCATAATCAAGGTGATTTTACGAATTTATTTCCATTTTCTAGTGGTTGCAAGACAAATATGAATAACACAATTTCGACTATTTAGGATTTCATTTACATTTTCGTAATGTATTGAATTTTGTTTTCCGGAAATTAAACAAAGTAACCGAAACACATATGCTCAGAGAAAAACTTAAAAATTAGGCTGGTTTTTGAAATTTGTTACAAGATATGTCATCAGATAACTTCTGATTATAGAAATAAATTTTTTTAATATTACAACAGACAGAAAACGATAGTAATTATTTTGCTGTTTTAATCAAATGCAATTTTACACACACATACTAAGGCCTATTTAAGTAGATAATAAAGAAATCAAAAGCCCTTACTACAAAATTTCGAGAGAACGTATTGTTTTGTTGTTACACGTGAAAGTTGTCTATGAAATTGATTTCTTAACTAAAATCATTCTGCGTACTTGATATTTTGTATAAGTTTATTATACACTTTACGGCATCTGATACTTGAATCAAGATGCCAAATGTTCACGGCATACATTGCACCCACAAATATGACTGTACCCGCTGCTTTTTTTTTATGGCATCATTTCCACTCATGTAAGCTAAACTCTGCATGTCATTAAATGTGGATGGTAATTTTGAACCAATCAGAATGCTGTGAAAATCGATCGTGCTTCAGCTAACCAATGATGTTGAAAAGCGAGACAGGATTTGTTAGCACAATGGAAAGTGATTTGTAGTGACATGGAATAATTAATGAAATGGCTTTTTCTCTACAAAAGTACACGATTTCCAGCTTATTTCTATGCTTCAAATATAGAAATAGGATTATGTTTACTCATGACTATTAATGGCTTGATGTACTTGATAAATAATATTGGAATTACTTTTCTAAATGTCAGGTTCGAAAGTTATTATCATAGAGAGACCGGAAAAGTCAAACAATCTTAGTCATGACGAGAAGATTAGCAACACATGTGGTATGGTAAAAGCAGAAATCATACTTTCTAGATTACGCAAAGCCAAAGAATTATCTTCAGATTCTCATTTAATCATTGTTGATATGAGAGAGACGAGACTTTATCAATCTGGTCACATTCTTACAGCTCGTTCAGCAAACTGTTACACAAAAACTATGGCCAAACGAGCTATACAGTCATGGGATATTTGGTATACAGAAACACATGGATGTCCTGCACCTTACACAGAATCCCCAGCGTCATTTATTTCACAATTATCACTGATCAAACCTGCCATTATAGTTTACGATCAACGCAGTGATTTCCTGTCTACTTCAACACTTAAGGATAAAAAAGTTAGAGCTGAATTGCATTTTATTTCTGCTCTACTAACTAGAGGAAATCGAGTGTATATGATTGATGGTAAGTCACTACTTATTGTCTAATAAGTATGCATTTTATTAATTTCTGTGTACATAAAACTATCAAAACTTAGAATTTGAAGAGAATAATAAGAATTTATTTTATGTAATAATGGTGTCATACTTCAATAAGAAGAAAAGAAAGTGAATTTAATAGTATAAAAATATTTTCTGGAAATGACATACTAAATAAAATAACTATTATTATTTATTGTCTTCATAGTTAATCGTCTTTGAGGAAAAATTTATAAGTTAAATTTGGTTTATAAAACATCAATAATAAATTCACTACACCGGTGATAAGGTTCAAGGGTGATTACCGAAATTCTAAACAGGAGTGATAAATGCGATTTGGATTCGTTATTATGGTGAAGACGTTACCAGTGATAAAAATAAAAAACCATGATGAGTTTTATTGAATTTGCTGAATTGGAAAATAATTTCAACATAATCAGGGCATGAAATTTCTTTACGATTTGTCTAGTTAAGTAGCAATATCAATAATTTGTAATTTATTGCTCACCTCATTTTGACACAACATATTCGAACGTGATCAGTGTTATTTTCTTCACTAGTTTTGCTTACCAGAAAAATTTGATTCGGTTTATTAGTGAAAGTTACAACTTAGTTTACGGAAATTTTCTTCATTTAGTGAATTCATTACCAACACCAGCATTGCTTACTCGATTGTCCCAGGATATACGAGCAATTCCGCCAAGACATCGACGATCGAATACTAGTAACCTACGAATATCCTCGATTCATTTTTCATTCATGTAAAGCAGAACAGAGAGAATTGCTTCATTGTAAACTCGTCCTTTGGTTAGCAACCGGATATGTCGCCTACGCCATAAGTCACATGAAATGGAAAAGCTAATCGAGCCTCTCTATCTGTGTTGAATTTCCTCAGACACCTAACCATCCGCACTGATGAGACTCTTAAGTAAGTGAAGCGGCCGACACACTGAATTGCTTCACTCCCTATCACTTGTTCAGGTGCCGACCGAAGTCAATCCTGAGGCATTGAGAGAGGGAGGATCGCATCCCGAACATTCAAGCTTACGATGTTCAGAAGACTCTAAATTTTGTCAGCGTCTTCATCAAATAGAACTATGTCATCGGCATATTGCAAATCAACAAGCGAGTCTCTTGGTAGAGGGTCAACTTCTGAAAAGTCAGATGATCAAAGTGTCGTATCTAAAAGTATGTCAATGATAAATTTGCATAGGAATGGCGAAAAAAGGACGGCTCTAACGAATAAAACTCGAGGAAATCAGTTCCGATGACAGTACGCTATCAAATCTGGCTTGACCAATAATGTTAAGTACAGAGCTTATACAAGGTTAATGTACTTTTTGGTGCGCCTTTCGGGACCTTCAGAGTCAAACGCCGTCTTAAGGTTGAGAAACAACTGTCTTGGGACATATGGACGTGTGTCTATGTTCTAGTACCTGACGAAGAGTGAATATGTAGTCTGTACATCCACGTCCAGGACTAAAACCAGCCTAGTTATCTCAAGTTTGCTCTTCACGAGCTCTAGTTAGGCATCGAAGTATTATCGAGGCTAACATTTTAGACACTATATTAGTTAGACTGATTCCTCTGTGAGTGTCACAAGAGGACTTTTGTCCTTTCGTATAGACTAAGACAACCAATCATTGAGATCAGTTAGATGGGATTACGTCCAGTTTACAAACTCTACCTAAGTTCTCACTCAGTCTAACTGCTTAAAATGTACCCATCGATCCAATCTCCTGGACTGAGAATGAATAATAGTAGCATTCATTTTGCACGATTGTCTAACAGCTGGATCCCTAATTCCGGTTTCCTTCACAACTCTGAACAGTTGTATACTGTTACCTATCGTCGCCGCCTTTTCCATCACTTTGCTTTTGCTACCCACCATAGTTCGCAATCATTGCGTAGGCTTCTTATTAGCCTGTGCTTAAGCTGACTACCACCGTTATCTATCAGTTCAGTAGATGCTATTGTAATCCACTGCTTCCCCCTATCTTTCGATTTAGCCTACTTCAGATATCACTGCTGTTTCCACAGATTTTTGGATATCAGCCCATAATCAGTTCCAAAAATGTGAACAACTAATCCTCTCTGAATGAATTCCAGTCTTAATTTACCATTTATGCACATACTTCTGAAAATAGACGTGCAGTATTCAAGAAGTGGTCGGACGTATAATTTTTACATTTTAATATGTGACTCTTTGTAGAGAATATGAATTATGCAACTCAGAAGAGGTTGAGACTTGGAGGTCTATTTAGATACCTGTTCTGAGTAGGACAAATAATCGGAGTAGTTGAGTTTCCTACCATATGAAATGAGGATAACACCACTTTCGACAATATTAGGTTCCAAATTCCATTTTGAATACTATTGGGCTACCTACCAGTTTCAAAATTATGCCGTTTTGCATATGGTTCAGCTCAACAGAGGAGAATGAATACACCACTTTATTATAATCGGCATAAAGAAGAGGCTCATCTCCACAGAAGCAATCTCAAACATCATTTATGTAAGCCGAAGATAGCAACCTTACGTTACCCCACTTTTGACTGGGACAGCGTCAAATAAATAGACGTTTATTTTGATTCTTTGTTATCGGTAACTGAGGAAAGAATTAAACCTAGTGAGCAGAAAGTTTTTAATCCCTTAAGATGTAAGCTTGCATATAAGAAGCTGGTGGTTAATCACGTCGAAATTGCAGAAAAGTCAACGAAGTCAAAGTGGCAGATCATACAAGATTGATTTTTAAGAAAGCCATGTTGAGAATTAGTGAGTAAATAGTCAAAAATTTCGTGACCAACAATTTTCTCCATTATCTTAGAATTAACTGAAGTAATATTTTTTGTCCGACCATTGTTCATATCAGTCTTATTTCCTGGTTGTAGATTGATATCATACATGAGGTTTTCCAACAGTTAGGATCAGTGCTAGTTTTTAGAGAGAAAGAGAGAGAGTAAACAGCTTCAGAAGTAGTAGTGCTATATCAAATCCACCATATTTGAAGAGAATGAATTAAGTCTCGTCCACTCCATAACTGTTTGAGACAATGAAGAAGTAAGTAGCTTTATCTATCGCTGGATAATTGAAAGAAATAGAACTAATTGAGTTACTATTCGCAAAAATGACTTTTGAACTAGTGCTGTCTGAAAACTCATTATTTCTCGCAAAATACTACAGAAGAAGTTTTCGATGGCTTTAGAGTCGTTTATAAATATGTCACTATGCAAGATACTTGGTGTATCTGCACATTAAGATGCTCTTGCAATAACTGCATCAAAATTTAGAGCGGATGCACATATGAATGCATTTAAAAAAAAAGATCAATCACATTCATCAAAGTGTCAGGTACTTTTCAGATACCTCCCAGAAGTAGGCTATTATACGGAATTTTGACTGCTTTCAATACCAACTCAGGTAAACCCTTCGAGACATTGCCCGCAACCCTACAGGCTGTTAGGCAAATCAAAGCACATATAAGACATTCACCTCCATGTTTGATGATAATATTCTTTGTAATATTACAATGAGCGGAAAAACTAAAACTTTTCCTGAAGTTTTGTGATTTCGTGTAAGCTACTACTTCAGGAAATAATTAAACAAATTAAACTCATTGAAGTTCAGATATTACAAAAGAATAAAGCAAAGTGTGGCTGTAAAAGATTGAGTCTACAACGGCTCGATGAGAGGAATTATGCTCCGTAATTTTGAGGCCTTTCCTCTCCAAGTTGAGAATGTTAGACAACTCTACGCGTTCTACCATCTTTGTTTCCGAAGGACTGCTAAAATTTCGTGACGTTTCAGTAAGGCAGAAGTTCAAAAAGGTGTGTTTAGGTACAGAGACGATAATTCAACTGATGTTACCATCTTGAAACACCGACTTCTGTAGCCTGGACATATACTACGTATGTCATCTCAGTAAATCCCACATCATGGATTATTTCCCGACTCCGGGACAGATCGGAAGAAGCGGTGGTGAGTATGTGACATATGATAATGATGCAAAAAAGTTGCACGGGACATAAATCTGTTGATACCTTACGGCTACCTTGTTGGCGTTCTAGCGATATTGCAACGTAATATCTTGCAACGTTGTCGGACATATCTCAGAATAGAAGCTAGGGACCATTCTACTCTAACGTTCTCCACTTAATACACTTATGTGTGAAGAACTCAAGAAACCCTTTCTGGTTGTATTTTTTGTCAACTGAAATGCTTCTCCCATTATACCTTTTTACCCTCATACTCTAATTTCCATTCAGTTTTGTTCCTTTTTGTTATACCTACCATGCTTTATCTATTTCTTTACAATCTTAGTTTTTATTGTATGGAGTATTTAAATTTTAGTGAATTTTTGTACTAATGTTTACATGTCTCAATAAACAGATAAACAAGTGAATAAACTTTTGAATTTACTTATAGAATCCCTTTGAACTTACTTTATGCCACCAGAATGCTGATCTTACATACAACAGAAGACATAGAAATGTATGTTATCGAATTGATCCTTTATTTACAGAAAATGTTTGTGTACTCTATTTATTATTTACCTTAGACACTGCCTCTTTACTAATACGTTTTTCAAAATATTTTTTTCAAAATATTTCCAAAGCCATTGAACTTGTCCAATTTTAATTGTGATATTACGTAATGTGTTGAATACTCTGAATATCTAGTTTCAATTATCAATCTCATAGATGATAATACGAAATATATATATATTTATATCTATTTTCAATTGTTCTTCTTATTATTTTTAAGCAACTAATTGTAGTAATTAATTGATTTTAAAATGTCATGATATTTTTAAGTTTGATTTTTACAAACAACATTATGTTATGTAAGATATTGTTGAATTGACTCACTCATTGCTATTTATTTTTGATACTGATATTTTATTTCATTATCTTTCATTTTAGAACCTATTATATTAGTACAGAAAATTGTTAAGTAAATAATTGACAAGAAATATTTCAAAACTCAACGTATTTTCCTTATGTTTTCATGGGAATTCTTTAATGAAAAGTTAATGAATTAGTTAAACTTCACAAAATTACAGGAATTCTTCTCTGAAACAAGTCATTTATTCTGTTGTTTTCAATGGTATTTTAAATGAAAATATTATCAACTTCTTAAATTCTCTGACATAACTTCATAGCAGTTGATGAATGCAACACAAATATTTAGTTCATGTGTGTGATAAATTGCAGATAATGATTTCCCTTGATCTTTGGACAAATCTTCTCAATCGTTCGTTATTAACTGTTGCTACCAATACTGTATGAACAATTCAATTTTTAGATGAAAGTTATCGGAATTTATATTCGAAGCTTAATAATCTCTTGAGAAATAGAAATTCATTACAGACCGATTATTAATCTAACTTATCTAGTAGAAATTAACTTTACAAGGAAATTAATTAAATAGCCGCTTTTGAATAAATAAACCAAAAACAATTATCAATCTACTAATCAGAAATTATATCGGACTGCATTAGACGGTAATTTTGATATTGATAGATATTTACTGACAATACAAATAATAAGGAACTGAATAGACTTTGTCAGGTATTCAAATTAAATCTTTATCTACCCAAAAGTTTATACCTAGTTATTTCAGTTGTAGAAAGCATGTTTCTTTTGAAGTCATTTTTAGCCTATGATCTCTTAATTACACTGTAGTAATGCAAATTATTATTAATTTCAAATCTTTAGCATTTTGATCAATTTAAGTTAAATAGCTTCAAAAGCTCTTCAAAGTAAACGCGAAGTACATTTCATAAACACCAAATGTAATCTTTCATTTATTCGAAGCTATAATTTTCTCTTCTAATTTGGTCAACTACTTATTCGTTATTATCTCACAACCTACTTGCTTCGGTCACTATTTAAATTGTTTAAATCACCAGCGAAATTTCTTATTTTTCTATAGTAAGCAATGTTTACTTTTAAATATACACATTATTAATTGCGCAAATATGAACAGAAACCAAATAACTATGGTTGAATGTAAGGTCCTTGTTTGAAACTTCTTAACAATAAATTAAAATGTAGGTATTTACATGCGTAAGCTAGTCATTTATTTAAAGATATTTCTTGTGTAGACAGTTAGTTTGTCAGAAAAAAAAGTGTACTCTGTTTCAAAACACATCTCAATAAGTATTTGATTTCAATCCATGAAAACAGTCTATTTCTTCAAAATAAACAAATTTTCTGACATTACTTAACTAGACAGTCTCTATATGTTGAATTCAACGTCACTAATGTCTCATGATTCATTTTGTGTTAGCTTCTTCAAGGTTGAAAAACTTGAACATACTTGATCATGCTACAACAGTGGTATGATTCCTTATGCACTACAATATACATATGTTACGATTTCATTAATGTGAGCTAGTTTTCTACTCACATAGTCACCCATGAATATATATGTTCATCATGAATAATTTCTAATTATCTATCTATCTGTCTATATTGGCATCATTTTTATTGACATACTTTATTAATTAATTAATTAAAGAAAATAACACAGGATATCACTTTCACTTTGCCATTCTATAAGATTTTCGTATATTTATTCTATATTAAGTTGTTTAAATGGTTGACTATTTTCATTTTTACTTCAGTTTTTTTTTCAAACAGGCACTTGACTTAATAAATTTTAAAGTCTTGATTATCATTAATAGAGAGAGAGAGAAAAAAAGAAGGCGAAGATTTCATGATGTATGCTATACTCTACATCACATGCATCAAATGAAATGTGTTCTATATATATATATATATATATATATATATATATATGATCACATGATCATTGATTTTTACTAATTCAGTGTAAGAGTGTTGTACTACAATTCAACTTTGTACACCAAATTAATAGGATATTTTTGAAATATTTTAACAATAGAAAAAACATCATAACTTTGAGTATTGCTTGTTGCTATTTCAATGCTTTCTTTCTTCTAACCGTCTAATTATTCAACTTGAATAAATATTTTCATGCAGAAATGATTGTATTCGTTAATGCCATATAATCGATACAAAGTTACCTTTACTTATAAGAATAAGGTCATTAGGTGAACAGTACTATGTTTGAAATACATCTTAATCATCCTATTGTCTCGTGTTTATGTTACTTACTGGTCTAGCCAGTTGTGACTTGATTCAATATTGATTACTGCTACTGGATATCAATGTTTTCTTTTTTTCTTTTTACTAAATTAAATTTAATTTATTTCTTGGTTTAATGATTTGAACAAAATTTTCAATCATTATATTCTAAGCTCTTTTAAGCTTCGAAATATAATTCATTAGGCCACTTAATTTTTTTTTTACAATTCTAATTGATAGCGTCAACATTAGAAAATTTGGCAAACTTAATTTTATTAAGTGCGTTGATCACTTTAAGCATATTTTGTCGTCTCAGTTAATAATAGAAAAAAAAAAGTTAATTAATGATAAGATTGTGGTGATTTTTCACTATGAGATAAAATTGACTTATTGAAAAATTTTTAAAAAAAATAATCTCATGTACCTAGTTTTTTAAATCATGTTATATAAACTATACTTGAACTATTATAAACAAATAACATATTGCACAGATTTGATTGTTTCTTTTTATATGTGTGTGTTTATCTTTTCATCATTTTTTCATCTTCATTGCATCCAGGTGGTTTTGAAGCATTTCGAAGTGTTCAAGGTTCCAATGACTTCATTGATCGGAATATACCACTTGTTATTAATTATATAAATACAGATGATAGTTCTTGTTCTGAAACTGCATCACCTTCATTAAGTGATAATTCTGAAAGTTCATCCATTGTATCACGTGTGTTTGATGAAAATGCTGTTATTTCTCTTCATGATGATAATAATCATAATCATAATAATAATAAAAATACTAATCATAATAACAATAACAATCCTATCAATATTCACAATAAATCACTTCCAGATGATATTTCACACTATAAATTAGAGAATTTCGAATCAAATGATACAGAAAAATTAATTTCTTCTTTAAAAAATAATTCAGGTGATGAAACATTAGTTGTACGAATTAAACAAACACCATTACGACTAACGGAATCACAACAAAATGATGATGTACTAAGTGCAAGTATTTCACAAATTCTACCATTTCTTTATTTAGGTAAGTTATTTTGTATTGCAAATTGTTGTTGTTGTTGTTGTGTTTTTTTTTAAATTTTAAATTAAAACTATTACATCTATATATATATATATATATATATATATATATATATATATATATATATATATATATATATATATATATATTGACATGCAATTAAATCAATTGAAACTTGATCAAAAGAAATGATCATTTATCATTTCAATTGATTCATTGAACAACATTGGAGGCTTCATTTTTACTAAGGATTAAAAATAAAGTTCGTTTGAATTAATCAACAGCAATGTGTATATCGTGTATTTTTGTATCAAAGACTAAATCTCATTCAAATTTGATTGTGAAACGATATCGGAAAGAATTGAGAATTGTCATGTCGATAGAAAGATCAAAGACCATTTCAATAGGTGTCTTATTTTCAAACATAGAAACATATGACGGATTTGAATAATATGAAAAAGGGAGGATTTTTTTCAACAAATCATTTATTACTACCAAGAATTCAGTCAGTATATAGTGTATAATTTTCTCACTGAATTCATAAGAAAATGTTTATCTTTGTCATCTCCATGTAAAGTAATCCTTCTCTGAAGATTGGAGTCATTAGGTTGTCCAAAAACATACACTTGCTCTTAACAATTCTTCACAGAAAACCAGTTCACTTTGGTATATACTTAAAATTCATGAATTTTTTTTCAATGATAAATTCAGCTAAATAAGGAACAACACAATTGTTCTAGAATAAGTAGTATTGATCCAATGTATTTAGTTGATTTTCTTCAGCTGTTTTGACAACCAAGAAAATATGATCATAATTATGGATCAATGAGACTACGTGTACATACTTCATATTAGGAAAGTCTGAATTAAAGTTGGAATCGACCAGTAAATGTAGAATATGTAAAAGGCAATAATTAAAGACAAATTAAAAAAATAGTTAAAAGATTTAATAATTTATAATTAATATATAATAAATAGTCCACAATAAAAGCTGCCAAATGATTAGGATTTTCAGGAATCAAAGGTTTTTGCATTTAATACGAAAAACAAAATAATTTAGTATAGCTCACAATTGATAAATAAGGAATAAGTAATTATATAATTAAGATTATCAAAAGAAAATCTTGTCAAGCTAGTAAAATCCGAATTTATAATCTCGTAGTTTATGATTGTGGAAGCGATTCAACACACTCATACTCTTTCCTAGGCCAGCTGTGACAACAAAAAGATGTTATTGATTTTTTTCATAGCTCTGAACTGCCATCTAATCTTCATATTCTTCTTCATACACTTCGGATAACGTGATTGTTTTAATGTTTGGTGATGATTATTTTAAAGTCTTTTTATCCATATTGGACCTACTTTCTATGCTGAACTATGGATTGGAAATTTTATGATCCTTCTTATCACTATTGATACACTTGTCTTCTGACTATCGACCGATAATATGTAATTATGCAATCTTTTTTATTAAATGGTTATGGAGGTTATCGACTTTGATTGAAATCACGAATCGATCAATATTAGACCACCATTAGGTACCTGGAAGATCTGGGAGGCCATTTGGTCCTAGTATGAGATTCGTCAGCAATGCACACACGGAAATCGAACTTAATGGATAAGGTCGCGCAATATTGTGGATTGATTGAAGTTAGACATTAACACCTTAGGATGTCAACTCACTGGTCAAGAGGTTAAGTGTTTGCACGCGGACCGAGCGTCCTGGGTTAAACCCGCCTTCGCGGTATCGTGGATGCGTACTGTTGATGAGTCTCATACTAGGTTGAAACAGCAGTCCAGTGCTTCTAGGTTTCTAATGGTGGTTGGAAACTATTCGGTTTTTGATTGTAATGAAACTTCTAACATTATTTTCGGCTACTCAGTAGACCTTTGTTGGGAATAGATATAAATACCAATATAACTTTTACTACCATAAATTTATCTTGATCTGTCTTCATTAATGTACATTTGTGTACCACGCTAATATTTAATTAGCAGTTAACTGAGCTAAGGCATGCTGTAAATCAAGATGATCTTTTGTGTTCATTTGTAAAATTATCGTCGATAACGGACTGTTGAAACTCTAAGTTCTGTAAAATACAAAAGAATAACGATTAAAACATTCCTTTATTTATTAAATACTTTTGTAGTACTGAAGTGATAGAACCTAAACGAAATAAACGTAATTGCTTTCAACTTAATTACTTACTTACACCTGTTACCCCCAATGGAGCATGCACTGCCGACCATTGTTCTCCAAATAAATCTGTCCTGTGCTTTCCTTTCCAATTCTGTCCAATTTTTGTTCATTCTTCTCATATCTGTCTCCATCTCTCGGCGTAATGTGTTCCTTGGCCTTCCTTTTTTCCTTTTGCCTTGAGGATTCCAAGGGAGAGCTTGTCCTGTGACGCAGTTAGGTGCTTTTCACAGTGTGTGTCCTATTCATTTCAAGCGCTTCTCTTTGATTTCCTCCTCCGCTGGAATCTGGTTTGTTTTCTCCGACAGTAGGTTGTTGCTGATGGTGTCTGGCCAACGAATACGAAGTATTTTGCGTAGATAACTGTTAAAGGATACTTGTATCTTCTGGATGATGGCTTTGGTAGTTATCCAAGTTTCCACTCCATATGGCAGAACTGTCTTGACAGTTTAACTGAAAATTCAAATTTTGGTGTTTGATGTTTGTTTAGAGTTCCAGATATTGTTCAATCCGCGCCTCACATTTGCATCGGATCTACCTTAATTTTCAATCATGTTGCCCCATGCCTAACCCTCCTCCTTTCTAGGGTTGGGACCAGCAGTAGCCCCAAAGGGGTTCCAGGCGGAGTTAGTTGTTTTCTACTGGCAATTGACAATTGCCTACTTGCATTTTAACTGAAAAAATGGTTGTGAGAGAAGCATTCTCACGTTATCCTTAATTTGTTATTATCCAAATTGAATAATAAAGCAGCTAGTTATTTTCTAACCGGATACAAGAGTCCATCAAGTCGAATATTATTTGTTATTGGATTATTGCCAGATTTTGATGATCAGACATATTTCTGAATTTATATGTACGTAACTTGGGTTTCTATTTAACTGTTACACATCCAGTAATAGACTAACGGTTGTTAGCAGTTTTGAAGATCGACTAAGAATGGCAACAACATTATTTCGATGTAGCCTAAGAAGTTATGAACAAGTATAGAACATGAAACTATTGTGGAAAACACTCATTAGAGTATAGAAATTTACAATCTATGAAAAGTTTGACCAAAGCAAGTGATCCAAGATACTTGGTTCAAATGGAGTTTTAGAAATATAAGAAACAAGCTTCTTAAGCGTCGTTTAAAAACATGATTAGTTACAATGTGATGAGAAAAGGCGAAGAGCTTTGACAGCCTGCAATTCCAGAGGTTGACAACGGTTATTTAGCAGCAACAAATTATGTACTTCCCGAAAAGCAATTAGTTCTAAGATTAGTTAGGAAGAGAGAGACAGTGTGCGAAATGACCAACCACTGAGAACTTGTGGTGGCCAGTTACAGCGTGTTCTTAATCTTCGTAATTCGTTCGTCTAGGCAATCAGCACCGAATAACGCCTGACGGTTAAAAATCAGAAGGCAAATACGAAATGTTGGATTCGTTTATTGTTAGCACACCACAAAATGAGACAGTGGACCATAAGCAGACAAGGCAGACACGCTAGCGGGCAAATGTGCGAACGGGAGAAGGTTAGTGAGTCAACTCCTACAGATAAAGCATGACTAAGAATTTATAGTCAGACAAAAATAGTAAGCGAATAGGCATATACATACATGAATACAAGCGACGAATGAGTGACAAGGTCAAAAGACAAGTGGGACAAGTCATGTGAGTTAGACATTTAATGACTAACTACAAACTAACAATCGAGCATTTTAACATTGTAGTTTGTGAACGATACATAAAATATTTGCGCATTGTGTGTATGTGATTAGCTTGATTAGGTTTACAGGTGATCGTGGTTTTTCTTTATATTAATACAGATAGGCATAAACATGTACAATTGTTTGAACTCTTCACTGTTATTGCATACTCTGTACGTATTCATTTATTTGTGTACACTACAGAGTCATGTTTTCAAATATACATCAAAAACAACCTTTGAAATATGTCTAATTTTAGAAACGGTTTTACACGTTATCAGATGATGAAACATGAGAAGGAATAATCAGACATTGCTAAATCCATGTTGTCTCCTCAAACAATCGTATTTGGTCACATTGAACTCAAGACTGAAGGAACAAATATACTGAAGACTAACAAATTACTTAAAACTCACAAACTCAACCTACCAGTGGAAGTGATATAAAGCTTTTCAACTTTCTACACTATGAAAAGATATATGGTTTTCAGGTGTAACTAAATTATGTCAACAGGAAGTTAATATATATAACCTGAAATTCATGTTCTCTTCATTCAAGAAAACATTTATGTTCTCTTTGTTTTGTTTTTATAAAATACTGATACTTTCGTAACTTATGTTGAGTAACTTTGACTAATAGGATTGTTTAATGAGTTGTGAAAAAAACCGGATTGCTAAACGTGCTCCTATTAAAACGTTTCGTCATACAAGGCCTTAAAGAGAATTTCTATTTTAGTTAATGAAGGCATCCGATTTATTCTGTATATGGGTTTAGAAGTTATGAACTGTTTTAGCTTAATAATAGTTTTGCCTTTTTATTTTTACTAGGATACATTCGTTTTCTGTCTCAATGAAATCAGTTTTTTGTGGATTTGAATTATTCTGTATAATCCTGGATTATTCTTCCATTTTGTCTGTCTTCCTCAAATGGTTGTCATCATCAGCGGGATGTCAAACGGTAGTAATATAAGTGATAAGCAACAATGAAATTAGTCACACTATTCAGTATGATAATGTATTTTTTGTAGGATACTGATTTCTTAAAACCGGGAATCTAATAACTCACGCTAGAACTTGAAAACTATAAATGGAAATTTATTTGATACCGAAATCAAATAACATTTTACTTGATAAGAGTAATTTTTATATGGTGTTCACACTGATGAATAGTATTTCGTATTAACTAATGATAAATTTACTGAATAAACAGCAGATGTACTAATTACCTCTCAAACTGTCATTAAATATCACAGACTATGGGAAAAATAGAATGAATATAATAGGTCATTCAGATTCTAATAAGTTAAGTCGTTGCCCTCCATATCAAATGTGTTTAGATTAAAGTGGAGAATTTTCAAAAAGAATTATGGATTCCTCGGATAAAGTTAACACTGATGAACGCTGAAATCCATGCTCACTTGCAAAACGTTTTGTCATTTCTGTCCCTACCATTTTTTCCGGGAATATCAGTTTTTATGTCTAGATTGGAAAGTGAATAGGCAATCGTTTTCACAAAGGATAGATAGATAAAGAAAATATATTCCAACCTCAATGATATCTCTCCTTGACCGTTGCGACGCTGATTTTCGAAAAAGATTATAAACATTTCTTCATAAGAGCGCTTGGTTACATATAGATAACTTAAAGCAAGTGAATGTATTTTACTATTTGTGTAGTCATAAAATAGTTGGTCAAAGTTTTTTTAACAGAACAGTGGTTCAAATATCATAAATATATCAAATGCAACAACAGTACTAAGAGTAAACTTTTCATATTCGAGTTTTTAAAACACTTCCATTTTCCAGTCTAAAAACATAGTTCCTATAAGTCAAAGAAAACAAAGGTAAATGTAGTTATGACTGACGTATGATTAGGCTAGGAGTAAACAGAAATCTATCAACTCCTCTTTGTAGTATCAGAATGTGATAACCTAGTGAGTTAAAGACTAATGCCTAGTTACAATAAGTTAATTTTGTTTAAGCTTCAAGTTCTTTTAATCAATAAGCAGTTGTGACGTAAAAATCAGTTAAATAGCTAGTGATTTAAACAAAAAATCCAAATATCAAGTGTCATAATTGCTGATAACAGAATTACTGACCTTCAGAAGGACTGAAATATTTCAATTAATGTCACTTTAAGTAATGACCAATGTTGTGTTTGTAGGTTGAATTCGATAGTTCCGATTAAATTGAGCATTGAATAAAAGTTAGATAATTATAATAATACTAATAATATTAATAAAATAACTAAATTTTGGTGAAATACAAATCTCTACCCATTGAGATGTCACCAAAATGTAATGCATTTATTATGAATTCAATGTTTGCTTTATCACAGCATATACATACATACCATAATAAAATATGTGTGCTTGATTTTATGTGTCATTTAGTATGTATGTATGAATATATATATATATATATATATATATATATATATATATATATATATATATATATATATATATATATATATATATATATATATATATATAGACTGTAAACTTTCAACGCTGAAATGTTTTTACCTATTTAAAGTAACATTTGATTTATCTATCTGACTCATGGTAGAACTTTAACTTTCGTTGGAAAAACTAATAAAAACTGCGCTTCTTTTTATCAATTATTTAAACATCACTCAAAATTTTTCTTTGACATTTCGTTTATTTGTCAAAATTGATTGTATGACATTCAATCGAATATCTAATTATGAGAGTTGTCTACGAAAATATCAACAAGTAGAATTTGAAATAGATAACAGATATCATTGTGTAACTAATTTTAAGCATCTTTTTTCGTGTAATTTAATGCCTACAATGTGTGAAATGCATTCTGTTTCGGTAATAATAATATTGAGAATTATTCAGAAGTATAATTTCGGAAGTAAAGTTTACCATCTTATAAGTTCCATACACCCCATGGGAAGGTGTACGTTCCAGCTGACTTTGCGGGTTGAACTCGATCTTTAGCTTCATGTGGGGTTTGGGGGCTTCGATCGACTGCATGAGAGCAAGGCAGTTGGAATCCAGACGGTTGGAATGGCACTTCTGGGTGGCTCGGTAATCCGTTTGGGGTACCAGGCCTAGCTGGGTAAGCCCGCCTTGCCGCCCTTGCCGATGGGGGATTGTGGGTAGTGGATTGGTTGGAGGTATATTGTTGATTCATAAGTGCCCGAACGGGGGCTAGTGCTCGTGTGCATGTTTTTTGGACGTCTACTTGTCTTCAGACCAATCTAGACAACATGTGCGTTCCCGTATGGGGCAGGGGTGATTGCCAAATTGGCTTTTGTGAGAATCCTTGTGTTGCTTACATAAAATGCAGCCGTGTGCATGTACAGCAGGCTTGTTGGTTAACCAAGAATATTTCCATTGTTGATAGCTAGTGACTTTTGATTGCATAGGAATATTACCTCACTGCAGTAGTCACAACTATTTTTCGCAAGACGAATGGCAACTGGATATATGCAGTCAAGTATAAGATTGTTATTTTAAAAGTTTCTAAAATACTTCTGAAAATGGGTTTATGTAAATTTAGAGCTATCAACTGTGACGGATACAAGCTGGGGAAATGTGTTAATGAAAACAATGCATTCTGTTTATAAGGATTGAGAACAAAACACCCACCGGCAAAGATCATGATTTTCACTTTCTGTTAAATTTTGCAGATACAAATAAGATTATACACTTATTTTCTAAAATAAGGTATCAACTTATGAAAAACTATGCATAACATTTGTTACTGAATAATTTGCCAACCTACCTCTTTTGAAGTTTCGTTTACACCGTAAAACTTTCATTTTTTGTGGAGGTGATGTTTGGTTCTCTGAGCTGAATGTTTTTTTTTTGTAGAATGAACAATGTTTCGCATAACTTTCGTTTATTTAATTTTCTCACCTTGTGTTTTTTTGTTGTCTTTTCCGATTACTCTTTGTTTATTTTAAAGGTAATGCACGTGACTCGCAAGATGTTGATCTGATTAGACGATTAAATGTAACTCATATCATTAATGTGACCGATACATTACCTATGCCATTTAGAAAATTAAATCGGATACAATATTTGCATATACCTGCTTCAGATACAACCAAACAAAATCTACTTCCATCTTTCGACCGAGCTGTACAATTCATAGGTATGATTTATCATTTTCTTTTAATATTAAAGCATACATTTGTTGTAATATAGAAGTGACATATTATTTCATGTATTTCAAACAATTTCACATATTTAAAACAATTAGTCCCTTTTATAAATTTTGATAGAACAGTGAGAAGACGTAATTGATCTGAAAAATGTGATGTATTTGCGCTATACATTTCGAACAATCTGGTCACACATATTTACTTGTCAAGGCATTTTATATGAAGATGAATAAAAGGTCAATTGAATAAAAGTTCAAATAGACATAGCGCAAATACATCACATTTTTCAGATCAATTACGTCTTCTCACTGTTCTATCAAAATTTCACATATGTTATTGTTAGTTAATTAAATTGATGACAACCAGTTACTTGCTTCATAGATTTTGTAATTAATGATTAATTTTGCAAGATGGTATATAAACAGGATAATATTGATTTGATATTAGTTGAACAAAAACTGCTTTTGATTGTCTCCTTCCGTAATAGATTCTACATCTTGATGTGACAAGTTAATCATTTATTTTATTTTTATGAGTGAATCTGATACGGTAGTGTGATTTGATTTTTATTCGATAGAGTAATAAGATGTTTTCATGCCAAAGGAATTATAAATATAGTTAGTGTATAATGAAAGAGATGACATTGATCAGATCTATGTGACATATGAACGTCAAACATTTCAAAGAACTTGATCATGCATCAACCTGTTAGGATATGTATAATACAAAAAAGGTCAAACTAGACAAATAGAAGCATAGGGAACGTAGACATGATCTAATAAACAGGTTATTAGATAGGATGATTTATATTCAGGTAAATGGTATTAGTGATTATAATATAATGTTGAGTGGTTGGAAGAAGGAGAATTATAATAATCAAAGTATTTGTTCCAGAATTCAATGGAACAGTTGCTGTATTACATAATACATAAGACAGAATTACAATATTTTGATGACAGGTCAAGAAATGGATATCAAAATAGGAATTTTCCATATACTGAGAAGAAGCACTTGTGCAAAATGGACATCCACCAAAATTAGTGAATCAATGGCTGGGTCACAATATTCTAAGGTTTACTATGCTTACTGGACCTAACTAACCTGTCTATAACACCTTACCATTCAGAGATAAGTCACATAGACTAATGATAAGGCGAACTCTTAGATCAGTGATCAATAGGACGTACTAGGTAGTTGAGTCTATTATTTAGAAATAGATGTTTATGCCCCACTAATGTCTTAAAGGCATGCTAACGACAGCATTATATCATGGAAAGTTTACCATTTTACATGTGTGTGAAGACGTGAGCACATAGACTAGAACAATTGGAGTTTACGAGTTAGAGTTAGTTACTGAAGATGTACCAGAATGACTGCAAACACATTAGTGGTAAATGATTCAATAAACGCAGATGACAAACATTTCTCTTCTTCCATTTCCAAATTCGTTGCTAAAACAGGTCTTAATATTGAACTTGACTAAGTTGTCAAGGTCAGATGCTTAAATTTATTGAAGCTTTAGTCATACACAGTACAATCGTATCTGTCTGTGTATTCAGAATTACATATATATTTACACAACGTCTGGTGAAATCGATCTGATATTTATAGTTGCGCGATTCATATCATTTTTCTTCCGACCTGAAGAGTTTGACCTTCGTTTTTTTTCAAATTTTTAACCATGTGTTCGTCTGAGAATGATCAGATTTCTAAACCAAAGGATAGTCAGAAAGAGGTTTAAAAATGTTGCCTAATTTGTCACCTATATACGAATCGTCTGCTTGATGCTACAACACTTAAAACATACTCACGAGTAATTAAAAGCGAAAACCAATGATCAGTAACAGGTTTCTAACTGCTGAACAAAGACGTACAGGTATTAATTGCCTATCTTCTCTACACACTCTAAAAAACAAGGCGGATAAATTAAATCTCACTTGATTTTTTCTAGAAAATTCTCCATGAACAAGTGAATAATGGTCAGTTGAATTCTTTCCCTCTCTCTTATATCGTTGAAGAAAATAAACACAGTCTAAGTAGGATATTCCCATTTTAAATAATTAGTGAGTAATATAGTTTAGATATACGCAAACAGTTATCAGCAAAAATTCAACAACTATGTTTCATAGTAAATAGTTTGTTTCTTTACACTGAAATTATATATTCTATCTTTAATTATTGCTCTGTTTCATTATCATGACAGTTTATTAAATTCAATTTTCAATTGATTTGTGTGATGTATTTTATGGAAGTGTATATCAGTTCTTGGTTCATTTCCAATTGTATTGATTTCGGAAATGCTAAATGACTTTTTTGATTTATTCCAAAATGTTATTGATCACCCGATGATCTGCTAAATCAGATCACAAAATTTTAAAGATGTCACATGTTTTTTTCTTTTATATATGCATTATGAAATTAGAATATTTTAACAGTGGTCTAACTACGTATTAATCACTAGTGTCATCTAGAAATCATAAGTTTCTTGAAGAGATGAATTCGCCCTGATATGTAAATAATACACAATTATCATTCAACAAAGTAACTTTACACTCCTAGTGGATTTTTTGGTTAGGGTTGCTCTAATTGGAAATCGAACTGATAAAATTTCTCTAGTGGAAATCACTGCAAACTTAAACAATAACATGATTCACCTAAAGTCATTATTCACGTGAACGCGCACACAGTCATTTTTAGATTCTGTTTTTTCATAAAAATATACATGTAACGCATAGTATCAGATTCGATCTGAATACTAAACACGTAATACAAAAATAGCATTATTGTCAAATTAATTTAACGAATTATTGTGAAAGTTCATTTCATTTTTATCTTAAGCATGTTTTGTATGTGTTGAGAATTAATCTAACAATACTTATGTTCATCATACATTTTAATTTTTTTTCTCTACATGTATGCCTTTATTCGACTGCATATTTACTAATATTTAGGAATGATGTAAAAGTCACAATTTTTCACAACATACATGCGGCTATAATGAATGCGCACTTCTGAGGAGTCCCATACCAGGACGAAACGGCCGTCCAGTGCTTCCAGGTTTCTAATGGTGGTCTAACATTGATCGATTCATGGTTTCAAAAATGTGTAACTTAACAATCTTCACAACCCCGTAATATAATGAATACAGTATTATGTAATTAGCTTTATTTCAAAAACAGTTATATACTGCTTACAAACGTTTTGTAAAAACAATCATCAAACTAGTTTAATTACTCAATAATCATTTAAGGAAATATTTTATTGCCTTGTTATAAATGATAAATTGTTATTGTGTTTTATTCAACAAAAGTTTCGACAAGATGAAAGAAATGCTTGAATTCCTTGGTAATATTTAAACAAATACGAAGATTAAATCTGCAAATGACAAAGAAGAATGTTGGAGCTTGGAAGTGGACATCTCATTTGACTACACAATCTAAAAATTATCTATTATGAACTAACAAAATGAATATATTATCATTCATCTCTCTCTAAATCACTTTTAAGCAATGGTTGACTGGAAACACTCGGTTCTTTTGTCTTATATAAAAATAATTTTTCATATGGGAGTATTTCTCAAATAAAAAATGTGATTAAGAAGTAGTTAAATATGACAAAGTATTCTGGTTTAACTATTAGAATTCCTAAATCTCGATAGCTAATCATAAACTAAGCGAAGTAGCATTTGTTCCTGAAAGTGTCAACAACATTTCTGAATGTGACATCTTACATTATTTTCAAAATTTTACATTCTAAATACATGAAAGAAATGTCTTCATTGTTTGTTCTTAATTTTTCTTGTCCGATTCTAGATCATTACTCAACATTTTTAGCATATTTCCTTGAATTATTGTTGCTTAACACTGCATCGACTATGGGAACCGTTAGGTAATTTACTGTTCAAGTAATTTCTATCTGCAATAGCTGTGAAACTGAACTGTCACATATGTTTTAGTGAATATTGGTTTCATTGAAGTGAAACCTGACGTCTAATTCATTTTTATTCTTTCATTTATACGAATATCGTCTTAGTTCTGGCTAGTTAGTGACATGTAACAGTTGCTTTGAATGTTCATCAAGAGTCAGTATAACGGAAAAACCTTTTTATTCACAGAAAAGGTACTTGACAAGTTAAAAAAAATTTAATTTCAACGTGACTTCTTTGTATCATTTCAAACTTGATATTTTTTAAAAATTGCACTTACATTTGTTGAAGAAACAACTCAAACAAATTTGGATCAATAGCAGTTGAAATGTGGTGTGAACATTTTTCATTATTAAAAAATAATACTGTTTCAAATGAGTTATGATATTTGTAATTTATTGGGATTATATGTTAGTCATAATTTATATAAAGATTATTGTTTCATATGTCATTTACTCTCTGAACACGGTAATTGAACTTTGAATGAGTAGTGTTGTTTTTATAATTCTGAACCAATACTTGATTTCAATTCTTTTCACTGGGATTTTTGGAAAAACTTTTTTTTTTGATAAGATATTTGATATTCAGATCACTTTTTTTAATGGTTGCCATTATTTTGTCATTTTATCTATTACAGAAAAAGCAAGAAAACATAATGGCATTGTTTTAGTTCATTGTTTAGCTGGTGTTTCACGATCAGTTGCAGTTGTCATAGCTTATCTTCTATACAATAATCGTGCATTGAATGTTTACAAAGCATTGGAATTTGTACAAGCACGTCGTTCTGTAGCTGGACCAAATTTACATTTTATGGGACAACTTCAAGCTTATTATCAAGATTTACATAGTCGTAAATCAGTTATTTTCTCTGATAAATTTAATATAAAATCAAAAGATAAATTAACTAAACGTAATAGTGCAGAAAATTTAACTGGCAAATTGAAAAAAAACAATCTACCTCGAAGTGTAAGTTTATCATCCAATTGGATTCAATCACAATCATGTTCTGCTTCTTTAATTTGTAAAGTTTGTAGTTCAAGTAATACTGCTACACCCACATATATCACTTCACCATTATCGATTTATGATTTGGGCAATATTAAAATTAATAGTAAAAAATCGATCAATTCTACATGGTGTGTAAGTACAACCTATGCACATCGTAGACGTTCTCTTGTTCGTAATTGTTCACATGAATCAAAAATAACTCCAATTGTACCGATTAAAACACAAAAATAAATATTTACTTATTTTTTTTTTTCTTTTGAAATTTATTATGTTTTCTCTACATTTTATTATTAATAATTTTTATTCTGATGAAATCTTAAAATATATAGTTTCTTTCAATGAATTTCACCTGTATTACTTAGATGAGTGCAGAGATTATCTTGTTGAATTAAAACTACCTACAGTTATAATTTGTTTATATTGTGAGTGTATATTCAATGAGATGTAATAATTTTTTTATTTTTTGCTGTCAGCCATGTTTAGTTTCATGATCATTTTCTTTCCCTTTTTTTGTTTTGTATCAAACTCTTTAAGCGAAAATGTGATTTTGTGATTTTAATAGAAAAAAATAATTAATTTCTAATTATCATCCTCTGGATATTTATTGGTTGTTTTCTTTTCTTGAAAATCTTTTTTTTTCTAAAAAAAAAGTTATATTGTACAAATGTACGTGATAAGTTCATTTTGTTTATTTGTGTTCAAAATTCAATATTACTATTGTTTGTTCATTCTTTCTTTTTTTTAGCTTAACAGGTTGTACTTGTTCAGTTTTATTCATTTTGTAGAAATTTTTTCTTTTTCTTTTTTAAAAAAAAACATTTTTCAATGTAACATTTAACAACAAAAGTGATAAGACTGATGAATAGTATTTTGTTATTTTCTTTGAGATAAAAAAAACAATGTACATTTTTCAAACTTACAACAATACAATACCATTCCTATTATATAAAAATGAACTGAATGACTTTTTTATTCGAATATAACTCAAAATTAACTAAGATAACTCTCCATTGCGTATGGTAAATTTTCATAGTTGTGACAGTGGAAATTTGTGCCGATAATGATGTTCAGCAGAACAACAATCAGGAAATATGAAGTGTCAAACTAGACTGGATATTGATATGGTGGAAAAAATTTGTAGCTCAGGTGGATGATTGAGGTGGAGTTCCGTTCTTTGAGCTGGATGTTTCGGTTGGGGGGCTTTCATTGTTCTTCTGCACATAATTCAGATAGAAGTGAAGTATATGAATTTCTCCACGTTTAACCCGTAGCTTGTTCTGTTAACCTAGATACTGATTGGTTACTACTGACCTTAAACCTGTCATTGTTCGCACCTTTAGTTTGACTGTATTCTCCTGTCATCTGTTACTTGGCCCTATGTTTGCCTATGATCCTTAATATCAGAACTCACCACGGAAGCAGTGTGCTGAGACTAGAAGCGTCGGTTTTACCAGTGGTCAAGCCAAAAATTTGGGTTCGCTATGTAGACGACACATTCATTATTAAAAGGAATGAATTGGGGAATATGTACAATCGGTCAACAACGTCTTTGATGACGTAGAAAATTCACAATCGGAAAGGAATCAAACAACAGTCTATCATTCCTGGATGCATTAATCATCAGAACTGACACAGGAAAACTGAAAACTCGAGTGTTTCGGAAACCAACCCACACAGACGTAATTCTCAACTACGGTAGCAATAACCCAGGAACTCACAATATCAGCTGCGTACAAACGTTGTTCAGGAGAGTGAAGACACACTACAGCACACTTGAAGCACAAAAAGCGAAGGAAAATATCTAATGACCATCTTCTAAAATAATGTCTGTCCACGCAACTTCATCAAAAAACATCAACAGAAGCGAAATCAAGTGCATGAACGAATGAAAGGACTTTTCTACCATACATAAAATACATATCGGAACTTACAGTATGACTACTGAGACCATTTGGAATAGGTGTGGCATACAAGCCAACAGAATCACTTCAATCAATCCTATGTAGACCAAAGGACAAAATGACAAATGAAGAAAAACCAAATATCATCTACAAAATAAATTGCTCAGACTGTGAAAAACACCATATAGGACAAAGTGGTCAGCCTCTTCAGCTTCGTTTACGTGAACACCAGTTAGCAGTCAAACGCCACGACAACGCTTCGCTCATATCAATACACACTGACAGTTATGGACACACATTCGTTTGGAACAGTGTGGAAATACTCGGTACGGAGAGGACAAAGAACACTAGGGAATTTTTAGAAGCTTGGCACTCAGGTCAATCAGCAATCAACAAACACATCGACATTGACCCAATTTATCAACCAATCAGAAAAACCATAGGTGACATAGGATCAAGAAACAGATCACAGGAGAATACAGTCAAACTAAAGGGGCAAACAACGACAAGCTTAAGGTCAATAGTAACCAATCAGTATCTAGGTTAACAGAACAAGCTACGGGTCAAATATGGAGAAATTCAAATACTTCACTTCTATCTGAATTTTGTGCTGATGATGTTGTTCAGAAGAACAATATAAGCTCTATAACCAATACATGCAGTTCAGAGAATAAAGCTCCACCACAATAGACTGGATATCAGAATTCATTTCTGTGGCATTACCAGGAAGTAGCTTAGAGTTACAGCTCCAGTTCATATTATTAATGATAATAGTGACTACATACGAATGCCTAAACTTATTACAGTATTCACCCTAATATACAGGTTTGCTTAGGCTAGTACGAAAGGAAGTAGTATTTAAAGAATAAAGATGGTACATTATTTCAAAAGATTCGATTCATAGATTTTTCCCGAGCATTTTCCATAATAAGATCCACACAAATTGAATAATCAGTGTTGTGTAGATTGTTGGGTTTCTTCGAAATCATAAATCGATCAGTATCAGACCACCATTCGAAACTTAAAAGCACTTGATAGATGTTTCATCCTAGAGTGAGACTGACCCTCGCCTTCGCGAATCAAACCCAGGGTTTTCGGTCTCACGTGCTAACGTTCAACGTTTCGACTATATATCTGGCATCCAACGGTGTTAAGGACTAATCTAAGTCAATCCACGGCGTTGTGGGACGTCACCTAACTGGTTCGTTTCCCGTGTGCGGGCGTCGTGGGTGAGCACTGTTGCTGAATAGCTTGCTGGGATGAAACAGCTGTCTAACAATGATAGATTCATGGAACTCAGAAACCGCCACAATGTTTAATTCATTCCTTGACATTCATCTTAATAGCCAGGATACTGCATTGTAGTCGCGTAGGTTACGAATTTTCTGATTCACACTAGCTATAGGAAGCAGTATTTAGGATCCGTTATTTTCTAAAAAATCAGGAGAAAAAACAACTCGTTAGATGTTTAGTGAATTTGAATCCAATTACAAAATGTATTTCATTACCAATTGTCAAAAAATATGTTTAACATCAGATAGATCAAACAATCAAACTGAAAAAATATATATTTCTAAACATTATTTTGGGGCACTTTGTTTTAAAACCATCGAATCATGTCGAGTAATTAATCTATATATATATATATATATATATATATATATATATATATATATATATATATAATGAACTTTTTAATGTAGATATAATAGAATATTCATCATTAACTAATCATTTACAAAACAAAAATTGTGTTGGGGATGTTAGATCCCCAGAACTCGCTTGATAAATTCCTTATTTCGGATTTCAAGTTTGCGAGCATGGGCTGATCAGTTGACCTTGAGATTTCATTTCCCACCAGCAAAATCCGTGGCTGTGATTAGCTGCTGTGTATATTAATGTGCTATTTTCGTAGTTGTCCCAAGGACGTTTTCTATTATGTATAAATAAACGAGAGTTGTGTGCTTGATAGTATTGTGATTTCTGGGTGTTGTAGAATATACTTTCTACGCTTACCAAGACTTCTGTTTTACAGCTTGGAATTTAAGGTAGCCTATCTGGACGCTGTTAATTGTCTCGTTCGCGTTTATCGACTACGGTGAACTCGTAATAGCTTCAAGCGCACCTAGTAACGAATATAACAAAATGTTTAAAGATGTCAACAAAAAGATTAACATAGACAATAAAATTGATTATTCAAAAATGTCATTGAATGTTGATCCTATCAATTTCATCGATTGCACCATCCATTATAACATATAATCGATATTTGTTTAAAATACATCTACACCATGTGGTCAGATCATCATAACAGTAAAACAACAATCTTCAATTTAAGTTATCAAAATTATTATGCGTTGATGAATTGTCATGTTTCGTGATTAAAATATATTTTTGTTCTTTTTTTGTGTGGTATAAAGGGACGCAGAGTGGATAAAATTACATCACGAAATAAATTTAGTGAAAGGATCACTGGAAATATGATACTACTCAGTAAATAGATGATTCATTTTTGCTAAAGATTCTAAAATGAGTACTCTTGATAGTTGACTTATTAGTGAAACTGTGTGATCACGAAATTCAGAGGCTGTTAGGATTTTTTTTCTTTCTATATCTATTAATAATATGTGCCAAGTCGGTTACTGCATAAGGGGGTTAAATCGATTCTCAATTTCTCATGCAGAATAGTAATAGACCAACCGAGTAACTTGTACTTACTTGATCATAAAGATCAAGTTTACAAGACATTGAAAAGAATATTTCACTTGTATGTGTTTCGAATCTATTTGATAAAAAATTCGAGTGAAAGACTTACAAGAATGATTTATGAACGGTGAAAAATATGATAACAATTATTGTTGTCAATAAACATTAAAAAAAGTATCCGAATACTGTTAGTCAGTTGTTAAATAAAAGCTGATGGAAGATAAGGTTACTGATTTCGAGAAGAATAACTTCTACAACTCTCCGTTTTGTGTATATTCAGAACAATGACTCAATATTATAGACCTGAACATTTGGTGTACCAGTTGTTTTCTAACTGATTGTGCATTTTCAACTATTCTCCTATAAACTATAATTATTGGATTTCAATCCATGTAATAACTGTAGCAATCATATGGTAGGTAAACCAGTCTAATTGATTTCAAAGTCAGTTAGCTCAAACTTTTTATAGATCCTTCTTAACAGGTAAATGATCATTTGAATTTATTCAGAACTGTTAACCAATATTATCACAGTAAAATACTACTATTAATAAATATTTGCATTTTTTTTGTTTCTCTACTAAAAATGTGAATTGCTTAATAAACTAATGTCATACTGTACACACATTATCACCATCCATGTATAGGTAGGTGCATTCATTGATCATCTATACACATAAAATGATTACTTACCACAAACAATTGTCATTGGATAAAACAAGCTATAAAAAAATAATTATTAATCGTGTATTAAAATGTTATTAGTTCGTATCATGATTATCTAAATTTATTTGAATAAAACAAATTCAATTGATCAGTTATATTTCTTGCTCAAAATGTTTGATATGATTTCAGTGACTGATTAGGTAAAATGAAGTAAATTCCAACAAGATACATTTAAATTATCAATAGGATAAGTTGAGTGAAACTGAATGAAATATGACCTTGGTTTCAACAATCAAACTATTTTTTTTATAAAATTATTAGTAACGAAGTACAGTATTGTTTACTGTGAAGTGTAGCGTTCCCTTTCCTGCTGGATAACGTCAATATATACTTTACAAAGAACTGGATTATCTAATTGGTGTCTTCACATTTGACTAAAATATCCTGTTCTCTTAATCTGGAGTTTGGTAATATTATTAACAATAAACGCTTCATTATTAAACCATCATCTATCTAAGAGTACAAAACATCTTCAAAACTATTAGTGGTGTTAATTAGTTAAGGCCTCTATAACATGTTAATGGTTTAATATTTTTTTCAAGAATCTTGTAGACATCAAAATTCTATGTCTGATTACATATATAACTATGTGGTACAGAGTGCCTAACGCTCAAGTAAAT